TTAATTATATTATTTATATTTATATCATCTATACGATATTTGAATGTTTGTTTTTAGATGTTTCACCTAGCTATCCTTCAAATATCGGCCTTTTAAAATTTTTTTTTTCTTTTAGTCTTGCATGATGTATGATTTCCTCGAGAAATATTCAGACTAGATATATTGCTCTCTGAATTATCAGATAGATTCTTGTAGAATGGTATTACTCTACTATAAATTGAAATTCTTTCATTATAAGGATCGATTTTTGTTTCACGCAACTACAGCCATGGCATTCCTAATACAAGATCAGCTTTAGATTCTTTGCAGACTACAAAATCATTTAAAACTTTATCACTACCAGATACTAATTTATTCTTACTCTTAAATCGAAAAGATAATTCAAGGCTTTCCACAATTCCTAAGGCATCCTTCATTTTTTTTTTAAAATATTTTGGTGAGTCACTATATTTTATTCCAAGTTTATCAACTAAGCTTTTTCTAATAATGTTTTCATCTGATGATGTATCAATTAATGCCTTAACCAAGTAAGGCTAATGACCCTTTTCATGAATTTTACATTTTATATATGCCATCTTGTAATATAATTTATATTATATATTATATCTTTATTAAAAAAAATAACTAATTATTTATCTATTCTTCGATATATTATATCAATAAAAATTACGTAAAAATAAAATATAGGAAGGCTACAGAACCTCCTTCTTTATTATTGCGAAGCAATGACCCTCTGGGTCTAATAAATTTTTTTTTTTGCCAGAATGACAACATACAAATAAAATAATATAAATAAAAATTAAAAGCTATAATAACCATGAGTTTTTAATACTTTTAAAAATGTTATAGGGTTGATACTGGGGTAATTATATAGTATTTGATAATCAAGAATTATGCCTACACCAGATAGCTTTTTTTGATTGCTTTCTGGATTGAAATTATTAGTCTTGAAGGTATTACCATCATTAGTCTTGGGAGTGATAGCATTATTAGTCTTGGGGGTGGTAGCTTCATTATTAGTCTTGGGGGTGGTGCTATTTTTAGTACTCATTTCACGTTTCTAAATACAAAAAAGATAGTAAATAAAATTCGTTTTCATAGTTGCTATTAGACAAAATGACATTACTTTAAAAATAAATTATACACTGGTCGAAATTTTTTAATATAAAAGGCTGATATTTGGAGG